GGAGCGCGCCAGCTGCTGCTGCTTTAGGGGCGGGGGTCGCCGCGAGGGTCTCTTTGTCTCCATCGCGGAGCCGCCGTCACGTTGCATCGGGGACCGGCCGGGGCTCCCCTCCGGCATGGCCGGCCTGAGCTTCAGCAGCAGCCCCCCGGGCAGGAGCCCCCCCCCACCCCCCACTCTGCAGGTAGGGTAGCCCCCCCCCCCGGCGGTGCCTGGCCCGAGCATCCTCCGCGGACCTCCGCCTCTGCGGAGAGCATCTCTGGCCCCGCTCCAGAAAAAAAAAAAAAACCACCCAGGTAAGGCTGCTGCGCTTGCCGCCTTCGCATCGGGCGACCCCGACCCAATACAAGTGGGTGGGCTAGGACTTTCCAAGTGGGGACCCTCGGACTGCAGGAGGCTGGTTGGGGGACTCAGCAGGGAGGGCCTCAAACCTGACACACACACACACACACACACACACACACCGGTTTGTGAGCTGAAGTCTTGCCGTTGGGGGTCCCCACTCGTTTTAGAGGGGGGGGGGGTCTTGTATTAATGGAAATGTGGGGTGTGGATTGCCCCTAAGCCTCACAGCAGGGCCGAGAATTTAGGCTGCACCTGCGTTTGGGAACGGGCTCCCCCTGATAAACGTGCACCCTCCCAAGGCTTGGGTGGGGGAACCCCAGGATGGAAAATGCATGGGTTAAATCCGTATGGGGCTGCTCAATTTAATGTGGGTGGGTGGGGTTCCTCTTGGGTCAACCCCCAATAAACGCAAAAGAACTGAAAACAAAACGAGACACAATGCATCTGAGGCTAGCTAGGACTCGGGGGGCCCTCACAATCAGAATTCAAAACAAGGATACAGAATAAGAGTTGGAAGGCACCTTGGTGGTCTTCTAGTCCAGGGGTCCCCAACCCCCGGTCTGTGGACCAGTACTGGGCCCCCAACATACCAGCAAGCGGTCCACACAAGCAAGCAAAGCCCCATCCGCGGGATGCAGGCAGCACACAAAACCACACACCCTCCGGTCAGTGGAAAAACCTCTCCCTGGTGCCCAAAAGGTTGGGGGTCTCTGTTCTAGTCTAACCCCCTGCCTGAGCGGGAGACCCTGTGCAGGGATATTCAACCTCGCAACTTTAAGACTTGTGGACTTCAATTCCCAGAATTCCCCAGCCAGGATTTGAGGTATGGCTAGTCTAGAGAAAAGAAAAACTAAAGAGGTGACAGGATAGCAGTCTTCCAGTATCTCAGGGGCTGCCCCAAAGAAGAGGAAGTCAAGCTATTCTCCAAAGCGCCTGAAGGCAGGACAAGAAGCAACAGGTGGAAACTCATCAAGGAGAGAAGCAACCTGGAACTAAGGAGAAACTTCCCGACAGTGAGAACAATTAACCAGTGGAACAACCTGCCTCCAAAAGTTGTAGGTACTCCAACACTGGCGGTTTTCAAGAAGACACTGGACAGTCACTGGTCTGAAATGGGAGAGGGTCTCCTGCTTGAGCAGGGGGTTGGACTAGAAGACCTCCGAGATCCCTTCCAACTCTTGTTATTCTATATTTAATTTTAAAACCCTTTCCATTCACCATTACTTCCTGGTGGTGCTCTAACATAGGTGCTCGTGCCTCAAATACATTTTTTTTTTCATTTAAAAGCTACCAACACAATAACCTTGGACCCACGCAGCCTTACTTGCCCCAACGACAGTCACAGCCACCGCACCTTCCCTGGCGAAGTCAAACCGGGGGGACGCTGGACTTTTGGAAAGGATTGTGGCTACCATGTCAACCATCAGCCCCGAATAGTAAGTATCCTGCAGCCGATACCGGGAGGGTCTTCCCTACATCCTGCCGAGCACAGGATGATGGCTATAGAGTCACGTGTGTGAGATGGGCGGGGAAGTAGGTAAATAATAAATAATTCATCGCAGGGCTTAGAGCAGGGGTAGGCAACCTCAGCTCTTTTATGACTCATGGACTTCAACTCCCAGAATTCCCGAGTCAGCACAGCTGACTCGGGAATTCTGGGAGTTGAAGTCCATGAGTCATAAAAGAGCCGAGGTTGCCTACCCCTGGCTTAGAGGTAGCCTTTGAATTACGACCACAGTTGATCCCCCAAATTATGTTCCTGAATGGTTAAAATGAGCTTTGCTCCGTTTTACGGCCTCTTGCCAGAGTTGTTAAGCGAATCGCTGCAGTTAAGTTCGTAACACGGTTGTTGAGTCTGGCTTCCCTCGTTGACTTTGTTTGTCCGAAGGCTGCAAAAGAGAATCAAGTGACCCCGGGACACGGCGACTGCCACACGGCGACTGCCATAAATACGAGTCGGTTGCCAAGCCTCTGAATTTTGATCACGTGACCCTGGGGACGCTGCAAGGGTCACTAAACGAACGGTTGTGAGTCAAGGGCTACTGTATTTCTAGGGTTCCCCTCCTTCGGCCCTTCCCAACTGGGGGGCCTGGGACAGCGACAGATCGCAGCCACGAAAATGGGAGCCCAAGAGCATCGGTCAAAGGAGAAAGAAGCATCTAGACAGGGAATAATAATAATAATAATAATAATAATAATAATAATAATAATAATAATGATGATGATGATGATGATGATGATGATGATGATGATGATGATGATGATGATGAAGTTGGAAGGGACCTTGGAGGTCATCTAGTCCAACCCCCTGCTCAGGCAGGAAACCCTAGACCATTTCGGACAAATGGCTGTCCAGTCTCTTCTTAAAAACTTCCAGGTCCTCGACTTACGACTTGCTAAGCAAGGTGGTGGATTTTCACAACCGTTTTAGCCAGGGTCATTAAATGAGTCCGGTTTCCTCTACTGACTTTGCTTGACGGAAGCCAGCTGGGACGGTCGCAAACGGTGATCTCGTGACTGCAGGACTGTTGCAACCGTCGTAAATACCGAATGCCCTTAAGTCGTAAGTCGAGGACTACTTGTGCCACGCATTTAAAGGCTGACCCTTTTTTGTCTCCTTTTTGCAGCGATTATTTATTTAAGTTGCTACTCATCGGAGACTCCGGAGTGGGGAAATCCTGCCTCCTCCTCCGTTTTGCGGTAAGAGGGGATCTTCCGTGGAAATTGATTGGGGGGGGGGGAGAGAGGGAAAACGGCAGGCAGGACTCGAACCCAGGGCCTCCTTCTCAAGGCCAGGTTGAGTTTGGGTCTAGAGAGGAGGAAAAGGCTTCTGAGAAAATACCCAGAGGACTTTTTTGCAATCCTGCGCTGGCTTCTGCAGAAGTCCCTGGGGCTGGACGGACACGAAGGCGAGGAACCTAATGCAGATTCAGGCCAGCTGTCCCTCAAACCTCTTGGGGCTAGAGGGCGAAGGGCATTTGGGCAGGGGTCAGATCAAAGTCCAGACGAGGGTCACTTTCAGGAACGCCCCTCACCTCCAGCCAAATCCCAAAGCTGCTTTTCAAAAGGCAACTGGACTTTCTTGGGTTTTTTTTCCTGGAAGACCTTTCGCCTCTCATCCAAGAAGCTTCTTCAGGTTCTGAGCTTCATGAACTGAAGCTCATGAGGATAAGAAGCGAAACGTCTTCCAGGAAAAAACCCCAGGAAAGTCCAGTTGCCTTTTGGACGGCACCTTTGGGACAAGCATGACCAGGATGATGGCGAATCCCCCTTGATGCTCCAGCCACATCCTTCTTTGTGTTTCCAAGAGGTGGTTTCAAGGGTTCTCCAGTTCCAAGAACTTATGGAGCCCACCAACCTTCCACTCTTGGAAGACATCTAGAACGTCTGCATTCTTAAATCTCTGGTGGTCTTCTCCTTCCCCAGGACGACACCTACACGGACAGTTACATTAGCACCATCGGAGTGGATTTCAAAATCCGGACCATCGAGCTGGAAGGAAGGACCATCAAGTTGCAGATTGTGAGTATCTCCAAGGGGTTGGAGAAGAGGTTGAGCATCAGGTCTTCTGCCGCTTCCTCCCATCTTTAGGGGCGTCTGGCGTAACTTCAGCGACTAGGCCGAAAAGAGGGCAGGGTTGGCCCTTCTGATCCTTCACTCGGAAAACTGAAGTTCTTACTCCGGAGTTACTCCCGGGATGGAAAACCCATCAGTCAATAAAGATGGCCGTTACACATGTTATTGTCACAAAACTGTGTGAAATTCGGCATTGCATCAATGCCCAGGAAACATTTGGAATGCCAAAAAATGGAACGTCCAAGTATGAAATGCTTAAAATTTCACCCATTTCCGGGGCGTCCCATGCAAAGCCAAATGGAAAGCTGGCAAAGGACGAACTACTCCTGCTAGGAGGCCATTCCAACTTCCTTGTTGCAACTCGTAGGCCCATATTGGTGTTTGTCTCTCGTTTTCTTCAGTAAGAAAGTCCTGCACTTTATTTTGCATTTCTTGTTTCATTTTCATACACATCTTTTCAATACAGACAGTCCTTAACTTACAACAGTTCATTTAGTGACCGTCGGAGTTACGACAGCACTGAAAAAAGTAACTTAGAACAGTTTTTCACACTTACAACCTTTCCGGTATCTGCATGTCAGGTGACCAAAATTCAGGTATTTGGCAACTGGTTCATATTTAGGATGGTCGCAGCATCCCGGGGATCGCGTGATCCCCCTTGACGACCTTCTGACAAGCAAAGTCAACCGGGCAGCCAGATTCACTTAACAACAGGATTACGAACAACTTCAGTGATTCACTTAACAACTGTGGCAGGTTATAAAGGTTATAAAATGGGGCAAAATTCACTTAACAACTGTTTTGCTTAGCAGCAGAAATTTTGGTTGTAAGTCGTAGCCTTAACCCTTTTCAAGGTGTTAGGCACATATCAGCTTGGGCACTTCCACTGACCGGGGGTCTTGCGTCTCTTCTCTCCTTAGTGGGACACGGCTGGCCAGGAGCGCTTCCGAACCATCACCTCCAGCTACTACCGAGGCGCGCATGGCATTATCATTGTCTACGATGTGACGGACCAGGTGAGGCAGCTGGTTCTCCAAGGCAGGCAGAGAAGAGGCCCAGTTAGGTGGCCTCCATCCAGAGGGTCTCCTGCCCAAGCAGGGGGGTTGAGCTAGAACAGGGGTCGCCAAACTTGGCAGCCTTAAGACTTGTGGACTTCCAGCTCCCAGAATTCTGGCCGAGGATCTATATATCTCTATCTGTTTATCTCTATATCTCTGTCTCTATGTCTATATATCTATATCTGTATCTCTCTCTCTCTCTCTATATATATATATATCTGTCTCTGTCTCTCTCGATAGATAGATAGATAGATAGATAGATAGATAGATAGATAGATAGATACATACATACATACATACATACATACATACATAAATACATAGAGATAGATAGATAGAGGATAGATAGACAGACAGACAGACAGACAGACAGACAGACAGACAGACAGACAGATCGATATTCCAGTGTGCAATGAGAGAGGACTAAATGGTTGAAAAGCACCTTAAAACTCCTGCATGAAAAAGCTCCTTGCTCATCCTAAATAGCCAATGTGCTTGCAAAAATTTTGCCTGAGAAAAAAACAGGTATCTGGGTTAGGTACAAATGAAGCGATAACTCCAAATGCAGGTATTTCATGCCCTCTCTTCCTCCCCCTTTCCTGCACTTCTAGGATTCATTCAACAACATGCATCTGTGGCTGGAGGAAATTACTCGCTACGCCAGCGAGAACGTCAACAAGCTGATTGTCGGAAACAAGAGTGACCTTTCCAGCAAGAAAGCAGTGGATTACACAACTGCCAAGGTGCCTTTGGGGAGGGGGGGAGGGGAAGGGGGGATATGGGTGGATCACGCAGCAGTTTTGATCCAGCGTTGCTGTGAAACGGATCCAGATGTGGTTGAAGTGAACTGCCAACTCACGAGCCCCTTCAACTACAACTCCCAGTAGTAAGTCAGTGGCAAGACTTCAGTGTTATCCGAAGTTATAAGTGCCCCATCTCTACACCAAGTAAAAAAATAAATATCCTGACCAAATGAATGGATTTTATATCGAATGCAAGGAGTTACAAAGTTTACGGTACTGTACCAGGAGACGGTGAGTTCTAGTCCTGCCTTAGGCATGAAAGGTAACTGGGCGACTTTGGGCCAATCACCAGGAGACGGTGAGTTCTAGTCCCCCAGCTGCGTGACTCTAGGCCAAACACCCGGAAATGGTAAATTCTTGTCCTGCCTTAGGTATAAAAACCTCTGGGGAGATCCATCAAACTTTGGTTGGTGATCAATCGGTCATTAAGTGAGGATTGTCCATTAAGTGAGGACTACAAGGAGCTTTTTACCCTGCTCTTATTCTGCCCTCTCCGAACGCAGGAGTACGCCGACTCGCTGGCTGTGCCCTTCCTGGAGACCAGCGCCAAGAACGCCACCAACGTCGAGCAGGCTTTCTTGACCATGGCGGCCGAGATCAAGAACCGGGTCAGCAGCGGCCCGACGCAGAACGACAGCCACAAGTCGGCCGTCCACATCCAGAGCGGTCCGTTACGGCAAGAAGGCGCAGGGGCCGGCGAAGAGGGGGGCAGGGGATGCTGCTAAGGGGCCGCCGTCCGCGGAGCGATGGAGGGCAGATTTGGGGCAGTGCCCTCGAAGGGGGCAATGCCAGCCCTGGGAAGCCCCCCCGCCTCACCAGCTTACCTTTGGAGACTCAGAATGTCAAAATGGAGCATCTGATGATAACGTCGCCTTGCTTTGTTCTGCGCCGGCTTCGTTCCACTTTTCTGGACTTCGTCCTGAATCTGCCTCTTCCTATGCCGGGCTCTTTCGCCATCAGGACGCCCTGGAACAGAGGGCTGACCACTGCACTGTCCAGCCGTGGTCATCTCACCGTCCAGAAAGCGGCCAAGTTGGAGCACAGATTCAGAAGGAACTCATCGACACCCCTCTTCCCCACTACATAGTTTCCTACTTGAGCAGGGGGTTGGACTAGAAGACCTCCGAGGTCCCTCCCAACTGTTATTTGGTTATAGATACAGCATGCCCTCCATTACACTTCACGTGGGGGTCCCAACCCCCTCCTCTTGTTTCTTTTAGCCCCCTTATTTAATGGTTGAGGACCCTAAAAGATGAGTCGCCCCTCTCCTCTCCATCCCCTTTCCATTCTCACTTGGGGGACGAAAAACGTATGGAAAATATTTCTATGGGGTTCTAATGGCTGTGGAAATTGCCCCTTGTAATTCAGAATGTTTTTAATTTGCTTTTTTACCTTATTTGCCTGCTTCCCCAGAATTTAAGGTTCCCCAAGGAAGAAAGGCTAAGCTTTTGAATTAAAGAAAAAAAAAAGGGTAGGAATGCACGGTTCTACTTAACATGCACCAATATTTTTTTCAAGCTAGGCCATTTTCTGATGTGGGGACTTCAAACTTCCAGAATTTGGGGAGTTGAAGTCCCCTCGTTAGAAAACAGCCTAGCTTGAAAAATATTGACATACACATTTTTCTGGTGTAAATCTGCCCAAAAATGGAAGCACACCCCCCCCCCAAATTTGGGGGAAGAAAATCAATTCAAAAGACCTCATGGATTGTCACAAGCCTTTTCTTGGGAATAAAAGACCTAAATTCAGCAAGATGGAATACCAGCCAGGAAAAATCAGGTATTTAATCCCTGTTCAGCAGATCTGCAAACCTCAGATTCACACCACTTTTGAATAATGGCATAGATGTTTTTTTTTTAACCTACAAACCCCTTTTCCTGGTTATTTTTATCCGTGCACCACAAGGGTTCAAGAAAGTCATATTTAGGTTTATTTCCAGCTTATTTGCCCTCTTTTTCCTCCCTCCAAGAGCTCGTTCACCACAGGACTAAGTGAGTCAGAGAGTTTAATTTTTCCCCAGCAGAGAAACTTCACAGCCTGTTTAACCTCCTTGCTTAAAAAATGCATCTTTTTAAAGTTCAGGCACTGGGCTGAATCGTACCTTAACTGAACGACACGCTAAACCCTGAACAACGAGCCAAAGTTACGGACTAAAAGGAAGCCAACTTTAAGAGAACGTGCAATGGTATGGTTTGTAACTATTCGGGTTAAAAGGGTTGTGCGAATCCATCAGCCAGCAGCTCTGTCAAAGTGGTTGCTCGGAGGATGAGGAGGGTGTGGACAGAAAAGAGCCACACAGGTGTTTTACTTGTCATGTAGAAGAGAGAGAAGGGTTTTGTGACAGCTGCAAATTCGGGTATCCAAAGTGCTTCTGGTGCATTTCTACATCAATTCCTTACATTTAGGATCCGTATTCCTCTTCTCTGCCCACAAAACAGAATCGTTGGACTGATTTATTATTACTGTGCAAAACTTGGTTTTTCAGCACAACTGGTGTTTTGCTGCATTAGAAGAAATTAGATCAGGTTTCAATCTGGGTCCCTTTAAGAGAGGTGGGCTTCAATTCCCCAGCCGGCATGTTGGCTCCAGACATCTTAAAGCATGAAGAGTTGGAAGCCCACCCCTCTTAAAGTTGTCAAAATGGAAAAACTCTGCTTTGTGTGTGGTTTTAAACTCCATTTTAAGGTTTTCTCAAGCCATTGTAGCTCTGCCCTCAAAGCATCCTTTTTTAGAATGAGGCATTCTGGGACTTCAACTCCCAGAATTCCCCAGCCAGCATGAGTGGCTGGGGAATTCTGGGAATCGAAGTCCATAGCTTTTAAAATGAGGGGCAATGCAGATAAGATCTCCTGAGGGCTTAAGAAATCTGTGCCCTCTGTTGAGAGCCAAAGTGGATCCCAGAGAGATTCTGGCAGGTGAAGAAAAATCCTATTGGAACCACGTGGGATGATCACGTTACCTTCCGTGGTACAAGAGCCGTTTTGCATCCAATAATGCAGCTGGTGACAGGCCAGTTAGGGAGCACAACTTGGGTGGGGGGGAGGAGGAGGAGGAGGGTGGGCTGAGCTGGCAGACCCCATTTGCATGACTTCTGATCTAATTGCCCCCCTTTTAGATCTGCTATGATTTTTACACCCACCAATTTCATGTCCTCCTGCCCGTTTTAAAACACTTGTAGTAACCTATGCTGTTGCCCTTGGCCCCTCTTAGCCATGTTGTTATGTGTTCAATAAACCATTTCTCCCCCACACATGGCTCTCTCTCTCTCTAGGTCAATAAGGAAGAAATCGGGGTCTGCAGAAATGGGGCTGAATGGGAGGGTCAGAGGGCCTTTTGCAGGGGGGGGGCATCCTGATTCAAGATCATTCACCCCCAAAGACTGTCCTCTGGGGCTGCTACAGCAATGAAGATGCTCCTGGTTTGCTTGTCATCCTCCCATCGAGGTGTTGAACATATCCACACCTGCTTGCTAAGCCCAGTTTGCTTAATTATGGTTTATTGAATGAAACACACCTGATAGGGTCTCACCGTGTATCCAGATAAACCCAAACAATCCACACTTGGGCTTAGTGTGACTCCAAACAAAGTCTCAATGCTGGATAGCATTTTGGAGCAAGACCCCAACAATGTCCAATACCAACACTTTCTAAATTGGATGTTGGGCAGCCAAGTTCGGTCTACAAAAACAGCAGCCGAGCAAATATATTTCCAAACAAGCAAAATAACATATATCTTAAAAAAAAATCTGCATACATTGCAATTTCCTCAAGGGCGATTCTAAAAATTAACAAGGGGGGGGGAGAACACTGAAACTAAGAAGACTGTAGTTTGTTTAAAAACAGCTCTACATGCTTACCTGGATCCTACTGTTAACTCTGAAAGAATAGAAGATTTCCATCTACAGAAGGTAATATACACGTGAATATATTTTGTACAGATTAAAAAAAAAACATTCCACCCTCAACATCATTCAAAATTTGCTTTTTGGAAGTATCTGGATTTTTTTCCCCAAAGGTAGTGCAACTGTTTATTCGTGCTGTTCTGCTCTCACGTATTTGTGTGACTTTTTTTCATGTGTTAACTGCCACCATCAGTGAAAAACATAACAGACCTAGGTTCTAGATCAGGAATCTCCAGACTTGGCAACTTTTAAGACTTGTGGACTTCAACTCCCAGAAGCTAGTTGGGGAATTCTGGGAATTGAAGTCCACAAGTCTTAAAGTTACCAAGTTCGGAGACCCCTGTTCTAGATAAATTCAAGGGTCTTGACTGAAGGAAGATCTGAGAATACAGCCTTCATTTCTGCTCACCAACGCAGTTTCATCTCGTCTGAACATTAGGCCTGAAACCAAAATTGGAGTTAACCATACTTCCGGCTTGTTGAAACCAGCTCCTTTTATAAGTCTTGAGTTGAAATTTACTAACATCAACAGTCCCATACGTTTGGGAACGAAATTGAGAAGAAGATCTTGCTTGAACTTGCTCCTATCCACTGGCTGGAGTGGTCTTCAGCTGCCTAGGCCAGTCTATCTGCAAAAACTGTCAACCAGGTGCTTTTGAGGCCACTTACTCAAACCCTGCACACTCAAGTAAGTGTATAGTTGGAGCTTTGCGTTCTGGTAAGCTGTGGCTTGAACCTGAGTGAGGAAAAGAGAAGCCAAAGCTGAGCATGTCTTCAGTGTTTCTCCTAGACTTGTGTTCCTCAATTTGGCGAGTTTAAGAGGTGTGGACTTCCACTCCCAGAATTCCCCAGCCAGCATTAAAGTCTACACATCTCAAAAAAATGCTGGCTGGGGAATTCTGGGACAGGAAGTCCACAGCTCTTAAAAGTTGCCAACTTTGAGGAACATGAGTCTAAGAGGAACAATAAGGAGATACCTCATGGGGTCCACCTACGTTGATCCAAGAAGCAAAAGACCACTGACTGGTGAAAATTATACAAGCATTTCCTTAACCACTGTTTCTTGAATTAGGTCACCCAAAAGAGAGTAAGTCTATCTCTCTTAAAGTTACCAGGTTTGAGAAACATAGTCTAGGAGGAACGTTCAAGAGATACTCAACTTGAGGTCCACTTTCCTGAAATCAAGAAGCAAACAAAGGATCCACATTGATTGGTGAAAACGGTACAGATATTTGGTTAACCATGGTTTCTTGAATTAAGTCCACCAAAGGTGGGATTGTGTGTACAGTGCATTACACCACAATCAAATAATTTCTGTGGGGACACCTGAAGAATGGAGATCAGATTGAGAGGTTCACCTTGGCTTCATGATAGGTGGACAGCAACACCAGGTCCTCTCTCTTCATCTCCTGGGCCACCTTCCTGAAGGATTTCAACATGGCGGCCTTACAGAGCCGGCTAGGTCGGGATTCACCTCCTGGATTTGCAATGCTGGGGGGAAAAAACAGAATAACAAATCAACCCCAACTCAACCCCAAGACAATCTTGACAATTCCAAGTCAATCTCAAATCAACCCCAAGTCAATCCTAAATCGATCTCGTCAATTCCAGGTCAATCTCCAATCACTCTGAATTCATCCCCAGGTCAATCCCAAGTCAATCCCAAATCAAACTCAACCACCCAGCCAATGCAGACTAGCCTTGGTCTCCCCTGACCCCCCAGCCCTCAACACCCTCCACTCACTCCCTTTCTGCCTTCCCGACAGCTCCGTTCACACATTCCAGCATCTTGTCTCCTGCGCACCAGTTGAGACTCAGCGAGGCACATTCTGACGAGGAGCTGAGAGGGGTCACGGGGGGGCCTTCGAAGAGGTAGATCTTCTTGTGACAGTACGGAGCAGGCAAGCCATCCCCCGGTCCCAGCTGAACCCGCTCGTTGATGAACTGATGGAGACCGTCACAGTTGTGGTAAGGGTCAGCTGAAGACGGACAAGTCCAAAAGCCAAAGGGAGAGAAAACAGGGGTCAGGGCAACGCTCTACGGCCAGTCCTTGACTTACGACTACATGTCCAGCGCATCCAATAATCACCTAGGACAATGCTGGTGATGTACACGGGGTGAAGGAAGTGGCTGAGCAGGGCCCCCTGGACCCCCAGGACGCTCCAGCGGGTCAGCTTGTCGCTGCCAGAGGCACAGTAGACGTGGCCGGACAGCATGGTGGGAGAGCAATACGAGACCGAGGTGAACTGCCCTTTGACCCTGACGTGAAGGTCGGCCGAAGGGTTCGACTGCAACAAGCGGGAGCTGGAAGGAACCAAGCGCAGCGGGGAGAGGTCAGCTCGGCGGAAAAGAGGGGGGGGCAAATATTGGACCACTCACTCGCTGGACACTCACTGGAGTTTTCTCGCTGCTCCGTGTGGCATTTGGCTCAGGTAGAGGTGCAGGTGGCACCTGGGCTTCAACCGGAGGTGCCCCCTGCCTTCGACCCAGCAAAAGATGCCCTCCTTGAGCGCGGCAGGATCCTGGCTACAGCATAGCAGGAGCTGCTTGTAGAGGTACCTGAGCAGAGTCAAAGGATGGGGTGAGCACAGCTACTCAACGGCACCTCCCATTAAACAGGGACCGAAGCAGCCCAACTGCATCAAGGAGCTACAGGTAGTCCTCGGCTTACGACAATTTGTTTAGTAACCAAAGTTATTACAACAGCGCTGAAAAAAGTAACATTTTTCACATTTACGACCGTGGCGGCATCTCCAAGGTCACGTGATCCAAAGTCAGAGGCTTGGCAACTGACTGGTATTTATGACAGCTGCACATCCCAGGGTCACGTGATCTCCTCTGGCGAACTTTCCGACCAGCCAAGCCGACGGGGGGAAGCCAGATTCACTTAACAACCGTGTTACTAACTCAGCACCTGCAGGGGTTCACTTTAACAGCTGTGGCCACGAAGGTCCTAAAGCTGGGCCAAACTCACTTTGCGACCGTTGGGTTCAATTGCAGTCGTAAGCCGAGGACTACCTGTGGAAGGGAGGCATCTCAGCCGGGGTCCCTCCCTCTCCCTTCCTCAAGCCCAGCTGTCCTTCTGGGGAGGGGCCTCACCTCGTCAGGGCTCGGCGGGCCACCACCAGGCCGTGCAAGTCGTGGAGTCTGCGGCCGTCAAACTCCATCCAGCCGCCGTAGCAAGCGTCCCCCGTCCCCAGGGCCACCAGCTCGTACGTCTCCCGGCAGGCGCCCTGGCTCTCGGCCACCTCTTCAAAGCAGATTTTATTTAGTTCGTTTAGCGTGTGGCGACTACAGAGGTCAGGCAGTCACTGATGCACAGCACTCGTAAAACACGTTACACGTACAGGCACAAATGCAAGTTTAAATAAAGCATCAGCGTTTGCATGGAGGTGAAGCGTGGGGATGCTACAATAAACAGGATAAAATATTAAATTAGGGTAAAAAAAACATGATAAAATTAGGGCGCTGTGGCGTCACAACAGGATTCAGGGGTAGGCAACCTTGGCCCCTTCATGACTCCCGGACTTCAACTCCCAGAATTCCTGAGCCAGCCACGCTGAGGGGAAAGGGAGAGGTTTCCAAGCTGAGCCATGCTGGCTCAGGAATTCTGGGAGTTGAAGTCCGGGAGTCATAAAAGAGCCAAGGTTGCCTACCCCTGGGATAGATGCTCTACAGGGAGTCCTCGGCTTACGACCACCATTTTCTGTTGCCAAGCGAGACATTAGTTAAGTGTGTTTTGCCCCATGGTATGAACTTTCTCGCCACTGCAGTAGTTTGAGTCACACAATTGTTAAGCGAAAGTGGCTTCCCCATTGACTTTGCTTGTCAGACGGTCGCAAAATGGGATCACGTGACCCCAGGAGGCTGAAACTGTCATAAGTACATGCCAGTTGCCAAGCGTCCAAAATTTGATCATGTGACCTTGGGGATGCTGCAACGGTCGCGGGGGAAACGGTCCTTTTTTTCAGCGCCACTGTAACTTCAGTCACTAAACGAATGGTTATAAGTCGAGGACTATCCGTGGTCTAATATCCAAGGAAGCTAACCGTCTACCTGCTTCTGGTGTGGCTTTTTCAGAGAAGAGAGAGGATCAGGGAAGACCCCGGGGGGGCTTCGTAGAGGGGAAACACTCCTAGACTCCACGCAGTGGAGAAGGCGGACTTGGGCCGGCCCTGGGGTGGCCCTGCGTTGGGGCTGACCCTCTGGCCAAGCTGGCCAGGAAGACCCCAGATGGGCCACCTTCCAAAACCAAAGCGGGACTCACCTCGCTCCAGAATGAACGCCGCCAGGTTGCCCAAACAGCCGTGGTAGGCCGGCTGCTTCTCCAGAAGCATTTCGCACACGACCCGGGTGATGGCGGCACATCGCTCTTGATGGAAGGATTCTGGGGAAGGAAGGCCAGGAGATGGATCAGGCCGGACACCCACTTATTCCACCTGGAAGGTGGATCACTTGTCCTTCTGCTCCCCAAGACTGGTCCAGAAGGAGGATCAGGCAGGAGGGGGAGAGGTGGGGAGGAAGAGGAGGGTGGGGTCCTCGCTGCTCTGAGCTTGGTGGTTTTCTTGCAGACATTTCATGACCCAACTAGGGAACATCATCAGTGCTAGCAGAGAGTCAGTGTGTGGAGAGAAGGAAAGAGAGAAAAGAGGAAGAAGAAGGAGGAGGGGGGGGGCTGGTTTTCTTGCAGACATTTCATGACCCAACTAGGGAACATCATCAGTGCTAGCAGAGAGTCAGTGTGTGGAGAGAAGGAAAGAGAGAAAAGAGGAAGAAGAAGGAGGAGGAGGAGGAAGGGGGGGCTGGTTTTCTTGCAGACATTTCATGACCCAACTAGGTAGCCTCATCAGTGCTAGTAAGGAGTGAGGCGTGTGGAGTGGAGAGAGAGGAATGTTACAGATTTTGCAAAGCTTCTAACAAGGAGAAAATCTCAAGATTTTCTTATAAATAATTACTGCACAGTGTTGCTTATTGGGTTTGGGGTCCCGAGTCTGATTCCCCCATAATAGTGGTAGGAAAGACAGAGCCATCCTGTTTTAAATCAGTTTTGCAAAACAACAAGCTGTTTTGTACACACACTCCCTGTACAAATGTATTGATTTTCTTTTATGTATGTATTAAATTTGTTGGCCTCTCACCGCTGGGCTTTGGAGGGGGGAGGAGGCAGAGCCCAGCTCCAGGGCCTGCCTTCTGGGCCAAGGCTGGACCTGGGGAGGAGACAAGAGGGAGAAGAAGCAGTCTTAGGCGAAAAAAATATCAAACCTGGGCAGACAATAAAACAATAATGGTTAACACTAACTTTGATCCATGCTTTTGTATTTATGCTTTTTTCACACCCGGAATCACTTGGGGTAGGGAGACAGGGAATTTAATTCAGGTAGTCCTCAACTTACAACCACAATGGAGTCCAAAATGTCCCTGGCTAAGGGAGACATTTGTTACGTGACCCATTTTACGACCTTTAAAATTCAGGATCCCTCAACCAGGCCCGTGGCAACCCGGGACGCCTGCAGCGGGGTTCCCACGCGTTGGGGGCGCTGCATTCAAGCCTCCCCCCCTACGCCGGTCCCTTTGCACCCTGCCCTCGGAGACCCCCCTCCCAGACCCCCTTTGCACAGCAGCCCCCCCCCCCACCTCTCCCTGCAGCATCCCCAGGAGGGTCCAGATCTTCCCGGGCGCCAGCTGGGAGCTTCCCCTCCTTCCAGGGCGGGGCTCTCTGCCCTTTCCGGTAGGGGGGCGCAAAGTTGGCATCCTCCATTCCGTCTTTCTTTCTTTCTTTCTTTCTTTCTTTCTTTCCTTTTCCTGCAAAAGTGGACGAGAAGCACGCCGCAGTTTCAGCAGGGCGGCGTCTAAAACGGCAAGCGAGTGGAAGAGGGGCGGGCTTCAGTTCCCAGAATCCCCCAGCCAGGCGGTGGCTGCTTGGGAGGGGGGCGCCCAGGGAGGACCCACCCGCCGGGCCGGGGAGGAGCGCGTGCGGAGGGCGCCCGCTTGCAACAGGTGGCGGGAGCGGAGCCCGGGGAGGCGCGGCTGGGCGGGGCGTGTCTGGGGAGGGGCCTGACCACGCCCCTCCTTCCCCGGGGAGGGGGCCAGGGAGGGATCCCTTCTGCTCCCCCACGAGCCAATCAGGAGCCCGGAGCCTCCTGTTGCCGAGCTAGGGGCCCCCGCCGACGGGAACCGACCGATCGTGAGCTGCGGGGGTGGGCTGGGGTGGGGGCTCCAGTTTGGGAACTCCCCCCGCCCTCCCCAGCCAGCATGCTAATGAAGTTGAAGATGGGGGGGGACTCCCAAGTCCCAGAATCCCCCAGCAACATACTCTGGAACCTGAAGATGGGGGGGATTTCCAAAATTCTGTTTGCAAGCTATCCTGAAACTTTTGTGGATTTAAAAACTATCCCCCCCAAAAAAAGGTTATTGGGGTGCCCTTAGGAAAACACCACATTTTCCCCGCCCCAGAAAAGACATCAGATATTTATTAAAGTGTTTATTAGATCTATGTATTCTAATTTTACTCTGCTAAGCTTCAGGATTGGAAGAATTGCTCATTTTCATGTTTAAATACAATACAAGGGTGAAAAATCACCCACAACTTCTGGTGGCAAGCTGTTCCGCTGGTTAATTGTTCTCACTGTCGGGGAAGTTTCTCCTTAATTCCAAGTTGCTTCTCTCCTTGATTTTTCAGTGCCGTTGTAACTTTGGACGGTCACTAAATGAACTGTTGTTAAGTTGAGGACTGCCTGCACTGTCAAACTATTTAAGGAAGGTTTTTTAGTTAATTGCTTACAGCTGCTCCTGGACTTAAAACCATTTGTTTAGTGACCGTTCCAAGTTATAACATCTGGGTTGTTCAAACATTGGTGGAGGAAGAAGAAATGGACGGATGGCTGTCTGGAGACAGTTGCTGGAGATACCCCGGCTGAGGATGATGGGTTTCCTTCCAGTTCCTTGCTCTCCCTCGCCTCCAGTTGATCTCTCTGCCAGCCTGGGATCATGGGCAGGGGTGGCGGGGGTCCTCCTGATTGGGAGGGGCGTAAAATATCCCACCCTGAGCCTTGCAGGGGTGGTAGGGGGAGATGCCCACGGGGGGGTCTGCCACACAGCCCCTGGAGAAGTTGCTGAACAGGGAAACCTTGATCTGGACCAGCATCTGTCGCCCCTGCGGACAGAGAGACGAGAGTCAGGCGGGTCGCGGTGGAAGGGGCCCGCACTGCAGGGAGGGTAGCAAACCCACCTGCCCGTCTGTCACGCACTGCAACTGGTACTGGGGTCCCAGGAGGGGCTCCAGGGCGTCCACGAAGGAGCTGAGCTGGGGAGAAGAAACCGTGGAAAGAGGGAGGGGGGGTCAGGGAAGAGAGACCCAGCAATTCTGGGGGTGGGGACCCCAACAGCCCCCTTGCAGCTCGGAAACCCACCCACAGACCCAGTTGAGTTGAAAGGTTCTGCCCAGCATTACGATACCACGTAGTCCTTGTTTTACGACCACAATTAAGCCTCAAATTTCTATTGCTAAGCAAGACACTTCTTAAGTGAGTTTTGCCCCATTTTAAAACCTTTCTAGCCACAGTCGTTAAGTGAATCACAGCAGTTAAGGTAGCAACACGGTTGTTAAGTGAATCCGGCTTCCCCGTTGACTTTGCTTGTCAGAAGGTCGCAAAAGGGGGTCACGTGGCCCCGGGAACAGTGCGGCCGTCATAAATATGAGTCGGTTGTCAAGCATCCAAATTTTGACCACAGGACCTTGGGGATGCTGCAACGGTCGTAAGTGTGGAACACGGTCATAATTTTTTCAGTACAGTTGTAACTTTGAACGGTCACTAAATGAATGGTTGTAAATCAAGGATTACCTGTGTAGTATACAGGTTGTATGTAGTACAGTACACATATACAATAGAGCAGGGGTCTTCAAACTTGGCAACTTTTAAGACTTGTGGACTTCAAAGTTGAAGTTTGAAGACCCCTGGTATATAGTATGTAGCTACTCAACTTACAAAGATTAATTTAGTGACTGAAATTACGCCTTATTTTTGGTCCTCACACTTATGACCATGTCAGCACCCCACATAGTTGCGGGATCAAAATTTGAGTGCTTGGCATGCAGCCTGATTGCCAAATCTCAAGGTCATGGGATCACCCTTTGCGTCTTTTCCAGCTGCTTCGAACAGCAAAGTTAACCGAGGAAGACGGATCCCCTTAGTGACCAAGTGATTCAAACAAGAGGCTATTGCGGCCATATTTGGCAGACACTCAATTCTTGGGAAGTGAAGGGGAAAAAAACAGGTACCTGGTAACTCCGCCTGCAGGTGGGAATAATCTCAGCCTTTTCAAAAGCCCTGCAATTAAAAAAAATGGAAGCAAAACGGAGTTAATTAATGAAAAGGCAGAATAATTCTGGCTTTATTTGAGATTTATTTTAAAACTGGACTGTGCAAGTTAATCCTCTTTAAGGCTTCCTTCCAACCTTGCTATTCTGTTATTTCCTCCTTCCAGAGTAACTGGACAGTTTTCCCTTAGAGAAATCACTTTAAATTTCTGCTTCAAATTCCCGTGAAAGTCGGGGGTCCCCTTGGGCCCCCCCTTTTTTTCTGGCTCACCTGTCAATATTGTATTTGGTGCGCAGGAAAAGTGCAGCCCCAAAGAATTTATTTGGGCTGTTCAGGGTTTCGATGCAGCCAGCGCAAGTTCCATGTTTTCTCCATTCTTTCTCCCTGGAGGAGAAACAAATCACATTTCTAGACCTAGAGGTAGTCCTGGACTTACGACTGTTTGTTTAGTGGCCTTTTGAAGTTACAGCACTGTTGGGGGAAAAAAAGTGTCTTCCGAAAAAAAGTGTTTTACCAAAACTGGAAGTTGCTCAGATTGGTGAAAGTTGGCCAATGACGGTCCAGTTGGGGCACCAGATTCTGCAAGAAGGAAAAAATAAAGTTGACTTGAGACATCAGCAAAGAGATTGTGTCAGAATAACAGAGTTGGAAGGGACCAGGGAGGTCTTCTAGTCCAACCCCCTGTTTGAGCAGCAGACCCTGTGCTGGGGGTGTCCAACCTTGGCAATTTGTGTCCAACCTATTGTACGTTGAGGACTGCCTGTAAGCTACAACGTGCAAAGCCCGTCCTGGGTTATTTGACAAGAGGACCCAGCCCAAGAGTGAGACTACAATAACAATGGACTACAATAACAATGAAGCTTTTGGCTCCCTTAGGAGAGAAGTTTACAGACCGTCAGGTCGGAAGGGAAGAGACGCCAGTAGAGGCAGCATTCCTGGATGTCGCTCGGCCTGTGGGGTGAAAGGGGGAAGGCCGTTACAGCCAAGGCAGGGACCCCTTTCTCAGCTTCCCTTTTCCTCGGGGGAAACCCCACTTCCCAGGGTGCCCTCAGTGGGAGCCACGTGGGTCAAAACGGGGTTGGAAGAGGGGTCGGGGTTACGGGAAAGGCACGTGTCTTGTTTCAGACGGGAGCAGCTCACCACAATCCATGGATGGTCCAGTTCTTTGCGTTCTCGGACATGACGCAGTCAAACTGGCTCGGTAGAGACTTTGAGCAAAAGAGGAAAAGAGAAAAAGAAATCACGTCGTGAAGGCCTTGATGCTCTCTGGGCTTGGTGGTTTTCTTGCAGCTGTTTCGTGACCTAAAGGGAAGGGAATGATGGAGGAGGAGGAGGAGGAGGAAAGACTGTGGTGTCCTTGCTGTTCTCTGAGCTTGGTGGTTTTCTTGCAGACGTTTCATGACCCAGTTAGGTAACTTGATCAGTGCTAAAAAGAAGCACCAAAACACTGATGATGTTACCCAGTTGGGTCATGAAATGTCTGCAAGAAAACAACCAAACTCAGAAAGCAGCAAGGAGCCACAGTGTCCTCCTCCTCCTCCTTCTCTTCCTCCTCCTCCTCCTCCTCCTCCTCCTCCTCCTCCTCTCCACAAACCCCCCTCCCTTCTACCACTGATGATGTTACCCAGTTGGGTCATGAAACGTCTGCAAGGAAACCACCAAGCTCAGAGAGCGCCTAGTTCAGTCCTGAGCTACAAATATTCTTTTCAACTGGTAAAAATAAAATTGATCCTCTCTTTACTATCCTGATAATACTATCTGAGACACCCGTTAATCCCCAAATCCAACACACGCAGGGCTTGTCCCAGTCCAGCCGCAAGATGGCTTCAAAAACGGATTGTCAATTTGACTTGCCCCTCCCTTCTCTGAAACCCTCCAGGGACGGGTTGCCCACAACCTCTGGAGGAGGCAAGCCGTCCCGCTGGTTGATGGTTCATTAATCGTTGACATCCAATCCTAGAGGAGCTCTTTGCCTGGGGTGATGCCTCGAACCCTCCTCTTCAGAAGAAAAAGTGGCGATCCACTCACCACGCAGAAGGAGCTGGGCCACATCTGGACGAAGATCAGGCATTCCCAAGGACAGAGCCTGCGGGAAAAGTCAACCGCTTGATCACTCTGCCTCGGGCCTCCCCAGCCCTCACCCTTGCAGGACGTCCCACCTACCTGGAGTGGTTTTTCTCCGACTTCCCCCACAGCTTCTCGAAGCTCAAGAGATACAAGAAAGAGCCGGTCCAGAGGAAGCCGAGCATGGCCCAGCTCAGCGGCATGTCTGCAAGCGAAGCGGAAGGGGGTCAGAGGATAGGTGGCCCTCTCCTTGCATTGTCCCATTGAGCAGGAAGAGCTTTTTGGCTCCAAGAACAGAACCAAGAAGGTGGTCCAGTTGATGAGAAGTCTCAGGTTCCTGGTAGAACCTCGACTTTGCGGCAGAAAATTCCAGATTTGGTTGGTGAAGTCCTTATGGAAAGCTAGAAGGTGTCCGAAATGCCAGAGGACTTCTGGACCACGCTGGTGGTTCCCTGCTGCAGCTTCCTTGGTCCCCCTTGGCCAAGGTTGACCTTCCCTTCCACCACACCATCACAGAGAGGAACGTACCTGATCCCCCCCACACCTGTCCCCTGCAAGATCCAGCCACCAACCTACTCTGCAAGAAGCCTCCAGCTGCTTTCACTTCCTCCACTGTGGGGAGGAACCAGGGCTCAGCTGTGACCCAGACCCAGCCCCGGTGGGGCCTCACATCCTCCTGAAAGGAAGGTGGAAGAGGTAGATGCAGACCTCATGGTTTCGCAGGACTACTCAAGACCCAATGTCTCCACCTCGGCCACTGGAAGATGGATGGACTTCCAACTCCCAGAATTCCCCAGTCAGCAGGACAGGGATGAAAGCGAGGGTTCCTTTAATCCAGAGTTGAATGCAGAAATATTCCCCATTCCCCCACAGTGTGATTTGTTTCTCTCGACTTGCTTGCAAGCGCACAAAGTCACACCAGCAAATGCCCGGCTGTTTGACTGCGGGTCCCTCAAAACAAAATGCAGTTCATGTAATGATCCAAAGGATAGCAGGAGCTGGAAGGGCCCTTGGAGGTCATCTAGTCCAACCCCTTGCTTAAGCAGGAAACCCTAGGGCAGGGGTGTCCAAACGTGGCCACTTTAAGAGCCGTGGACTTCAACTCTCAGAATTCCCCAGCCCGCATGCACTGGCTGGGGAATTCTGGGGGTTGATGTCCACAGGTCTTAAAGTGGCCACGTTTGGAGACCTCTGCTCTGGGCAGGGGATTCTGGGAGCTGAAGTCCACAAATCTTAAAGCTATCAAGTTTGGACACCTTTACTGCCTACCATTCCAGACAAATGGCTGTCCAGTCTCTTCTTGAAAACCTCCAGCGATGGAGCACCCCCTACTTCTGGAGGCCAGCCGGTTAACTGGGGCAGGGTCTTTAAATCTAGTATCAAGGGGAGAAGATCCCCCCCTTGCCCTCCCCAGCTCCCCCTTCGGATTGGGGGGGGGGAGGCGCTCAGTTGCAACTAGTATTTTGACCTTCCCAGCTTCCCTTAGTCCTGGCATCTGGTCAAGCCACTTCCAGCTGTCTCCACCCCGTCAGCTGTTTGGCCACTAGGAGTAGTATCCTTGGAGAATCCCCCGCAGAGGACGAGGCCCACTCCAGCGACAGAGTAAAACCAGAGAGAAGCAGACGCAGGAGAAAATGAGATCCCTGCTGGTAAAAACAGAAAAATTTGGGGGGGGGAAACAATGGCTAATTGTAGCCCCCTCCCCCTGGGTGGCTCGGGGCTGCTTCTCAGCTGTTGCCCTTTGGCCGTGCAAGTCACACAAACAAATTTTGGAGGGGTAACAGGTCTCTGCTCCGGCTAAGGGTTGGTGGGAGGCCAGACAGCTGGCAACATCTGCGGAAGAAAGACATTTCAATTCTGCTTTTCGGTCCCCCAGGGAAAAAAAAAGAAGAAGAACCAGGAAATGCAAGTGGGTGGGGGGCGTTTTCCACTTACTTACTTACAAAAGCAGAAATTGGAAAACATTGTGCGGTGCAGCTGATTGGGCTGAATCCTTTGACGCTAAGTTCCTTGTAACTTTTTGGGAGGGTTTGCGATTTCCTTCCAAGCTTAGTTAGTTTCCTTTCCCACAACCTCCCCCCCCCCGCAGGAGGAGGGGGGGTGTTCTACTCTTCACACACCCCTGTGCCCACAACAGAAGAGAAACTGCACAGGCAGTTGTGAACCGAGTCACAAACTGCTCCTGTGGCTGCATTTTTTTTTTTTGAACCCGAGAAAGTATGGAAAGTGAATGAATTTTATTTTATTTTTTGGCTACGGCCCCTAACTCAAGGGGCTGCTCCCCTTTGCTCCCCAAATAGCTTTTTCTGTCTCAAATGCTTGTGAAAGAGCCAGATTTGGGGCAGGGGGAAGCATTGGGGTAGTGGGAAATAATAATAATGATGATGATGATGATGATGATGATGATGATGATGATGGAAGGGACCTTGGGGGGTCATATAGTCCAACCCCCTGCTCAGGCAGGAAATCCTATACCATTTCAGACAAATGGCCTCCCCATTATGGGCCTCCCCATTTACTTTAATATTAATATGGGGTAGATTGGGGGGGGTCTGCCATCAGGGGCTGGATACTGGCCTCTGGGTCCGCTTTGGAGGGTAAACTTAGCTGGCACCCACCGAATGACAGGGATCAATACAGGTAGCGCTCGTCTTACGATCAAAATTTCTGTCGCTAAGCGAGACACTTAAGTGAGTTTTGCCCCATTTTACAACTTTTCTCGCCACCGTCATTAAGCGAATCACGGCAGTCGTTAAGTTAGCAACATGGCTGTTAAGCGAAACTGGCTTCCCCGTGGACTTTGCTTGTCAGAAGGTCGCAAAAAGGGGACCCCGGGACATGGCCGCTGTCATAAGTATGAGTCAGGGCCGAGCATCCACCAGTTTTGATCACCTGGTTGTGTGAAAACTCTCATGAGTCGCTTTTTTCCGGGCCGCTGTAGCTTCGGTCACTAAATGAATTGTCGTTAAGTCGAGGACGGCTTGTACCGCCCACAATTTCTCCTTGCTGGATTTGAAAAAAAAAAGAGATTTGGGGGGGGGTTTGGGGGGCAAATCTTTATTACAGCTTATTTTGCTTAGGTGAGTCGCTTACAATCCCTCCGATGCTTCACGACTTCGGCCCGGCAAATGGAAAACAAAGTCCCTGAATTTCAGAAGATCTTCCAGGTGAGACGTTGGCCGCCTCCCGACAGCCCTTGGGACCCCCTTCGCAGCTGCGGCGCTCTCAGCCGGAGTGCCAGGAGCCCCAGCGAGGACCCGGGAGCCAGCCGTTAAAGCCCCACCCCTTTTTCACCGGCATGGCGCCTGTCACGTCAGAACGTCCGTTGCTGAGCAAGGCAGTTGTTAAGTGTGTCCTTTTCCCGAGGGAGTCGTTAACCAAATCCAGATTGTTGTTAAGTGAACCAGGTGGTCGTTAAGCAAATCTGGCTTCCCCCATTGACTTTGCTGGTTGGAATCCGGCTCGCAAGGTTGCAAATGGCGACGGCTTGGTTCTGGGATGCTGCAACTCGTGCCTAAGGCGGGACTAGAACTCACCGTCTCCGGGTGATTGCCCTGAAGTCACCCATCCAGCTTTCATGCCTAAGGCGGAACTAGAATTCACCATCTCTTGGTGATTGGCCTGAAGTCACCCAACTGGCTTCCATGCCTAAGGCAGGTCTAGAACTCACCGTCTTTGGATGACTGGCCCGAAGTCACCTATCCGGTTTCATACCTAAGGCGGAACTAGAACTCACCATCTTCAGGTGATTGGCCTGAAGTCACCCAGCCGGCTTTCACGCCTAAGGCGAAACTAGAACTCACCATCTCCCAGTTGCCTAAGGCAGGACCAGAATTCACCGTCTTCGGGTGATTGGCCCAAAGTCACCCAGACGAATTTCATGGCTAAGACAGAACTAGAACTCACTGTTGCCTGGTTTCTGGTGTGGCACTTTAACCACTAGACCAAACTGGTGCCAGGTCTATTTTGGGGCTACTCGGCAGAACAGGAGCGGTTGGGACAGCCATAATTCTCCTCCTCACAGCTGGGCCTTCTCAACCTGAGCCCTTTGAAGGGGTGCAGACATCCACTAATTAAGGGGGGGGGTCTCCCCAGGCGGACAACGACTTGCCGGTGCACCTGAAAAGGGGGATGTCCGATATGGTGATGTATCGCGCCACCATGGTCCTTGCAGCCGGGGGTGAGTGACGTCAACCCTTCCCCATCCGGACTTTGGGTGCCGAAAGGCAGGGGGGCTGCCGAGGGGAGAGCGGGTGGTCCGAAAAGCGACAAGGGTTCACGTGAAAGCAACAATGGCGTCAACTGACAGCAGACTTTTATGGGTAACGTACGTACACACGGACCCACAAACACAATACTCGGTCACAAAAACCCACCCCACCCCCCAATTCAAGGGTGGGGGTAGGGGGCCCCCATGGAGGTTGTTCTCCCCAGCTTCTCTGGGGTCCGGCTGGATGAACTAAACAGCCAAATCACCGGTACACCTTGCTTTACGGCCACAACGGGGCCCCAAAATTTCCATTGCTAAGCAAGGCTGTTGCTAAGCGATTTGTGCTTCATTTTACGACCCCTTTTGCCATGGTTGTTAAACGAATCACTTCAGTTGTATAGTGACTCATGCGGTCACTAAGCGAACCCGGCGTTCCCCATTGACTTAGCCGGTCAGTAGCCGGCCGGGAAGTTTACAAATGGTGATGACACGATCCCGGGGATGCTGCCACCGTCACAAATGCGAGTCGGTTGCCAAGCGCCCAAATTTTGATCACGTGACCAGGGGGATGCTGCAACGGTCGTAAGTGTGAAAAGCGGCCGTTAGTCTCATTTTTCAGGGCTGTTGCACCTCACTAAAATAGGTTTAAGTCGAGGATCACCTGGAATTAACTGTTTCTAAATATTTCTCTGCAGCCACTGGCTATGCGGTCTATTCCATTTATCTCCTTGGAAAAATCCAGAAGCCTTAAGAAGGAAGCCGGGGATGCCAGCCCAGACTCTGCTGGGACCCCCCACCCTATCCCACTTCCCCCACCCACCCCTGGCTGCCGCTCCTGTGCAGAAAACTCCGGAAGCAGAGAAGAGCAATTTTGGGGCGCTCGCAAGACCCAAACGTGCAAGGAAAGGGGTTTTTTGTTTTCAAAGCGTACACGATCCCTCGAGCGACACGAATAAACAAAGACAACAAAGACCACGTTTTGCCTGGACTTTAAAACCCACCACTCACACCGTAAGTCGGAAACAGATTTTTAAAAAATAGAGAAACGAGACAGGCACACAGTGTTGAAATCCACAGTGACAAGTAAGCCAAGCCACATTTTCAGGGGTGGTGCGTGGACTGGACATGGGGAGGGGCTGCCTTCTCGCGCTTGCTGGCCTGGGTCCTACTCTGCATCCAGCCAACGCTCCCACTGGGCCATGCCAGCCTTGCCCGGTCCGGTGCCCGGCCAAGTGGGCAGCTTGGATCTCCTCTGTTGTCTTGGACAGAACCCGGAGGACTTGACTTGGGAAAGGCTGGATGGAGCCTAAATATAAATTAAAACACTGGACTGTTGGTTTTTCTGAATGGACCCACCTCTAGCCGCATCATGGTGGTGATACCCCAGAGGAGATCAGCCCTGCCTCTTTCGGCAGTCACCCCATCCCTGTTTGGATGACCTCAAGGGTCCCACCAGGGCTCTTGGCTTCCCCGAGCTCTGTAGCTTTCAGCTACAGAAACATTCGTGGCCACACTAAGCCAAATTGGGCGGATGTTTATTTTCCCATCGGGCTGAAAAATAGCTGTTCCCGGCTTTTTCCCATGGGGAATCCTGGAAGCAGCCTAGTCAGTTTCTCAGTTTTCCTTTCCTCTTCAAGAGAGCAGTTTCTCCAGCAAGGGGGCTGCTCATCGGCCATCCTAGCCATTAAAGAGGGGGGTGGGCTGGGTGGCACCCAGACAGCCCAGCGGGTTCTTTGTACCAAGGGAAACATACACACACACACACACACACACACACACACACATGCACGTCCCCGGGGCCAAAGCTCAGGTTAGCCCCCCCCCTTGCCGTTTGCATGGGCATCACTTTAGCAACCAGAAAGCATGCATGTTGGTTCAGAAGATGGATGAGATTCACGCAGGAAACTTGGTTTAAATCGCTTGGATCGGAAGGCGTCCACTTTGGAGCTGAGGACGGAAGAAGTCGGTAACCGATTGCATTTGGTGAAAGTGGGGGGGGGAGATGGGGTGAGGGGCCGAAGTAGCTTCAGGCTTTCTTCAGCATCTTCGTGGTCTGGTTGTTGGCTTCGTTGATGCTGATCACATTGGCAACGGCCTGCCGGGGTGAGGGGCGGGGGGAGAGAAGAAAAGAAAGAAGCACTGAGCAGGGGGTTGGACTAGAAGACCTTAAGGATCCCTTCCAACTCTGTTATTCTGTATTCTAAATGGTTGCCAACTTAATTAACCCTGGGGGCAGCTGGAGGGAGCCTTTACTTTTTAAATCAGGGGTCTTCAAACTTGGCCCTTTTATGACTGGTGGACTTCAACTCCCAGAATTCCTGGCTGAGGAATTCTGGGAGTTGAAGTCCACAAGTCATAAAAGGGCCAGGTTTGAAGACCCCTGATTTAAATAATAAAGCAATAGTGCCCTCTGCTGCTGAAGCAAGAAATAGCCACAGCAACATACAGATCGTCCCTGACTTACGATCACAATTGAGCTCAACATTTTGCTCCATTTTACGACCTTTCCCGTTGCCGTTGTTAAGCGAAACATCGCTCACCTTCTCTTTGATATTCTCCACCTGCTTGCTCTGGACATCAATCTCGTTGCTCATGTCCACCGCCATGCTGCGCAGGTTACTCAGCATGCTGTCCACCTGGGTCAGATTCTGCTCTATCTCATCCTCCACGTCGTCCTTCATTACCCTGGACAAGAACACACGTGCAGAGAGCACTGTGGGGCTCAAGCGTGCCCACGCGTGAACACTGGGAGTCCCAAATGTAGGGTTTGCTGTTTACAAGCTCTCTCACGTTAGCAGGGCCTGAGCCCTGCGTTCGAGATTCCGGTCGTCTCCTCCCCCTCTCCTCCCTCCTAGCACTGATGATGTTCCCTAGTTGGGTCATGAAATGTCTGCCAGAAAACCACCAAGCTCAGAGCGCACCAAGGACCCCCACAGTCCCCCATTCCTCCTCCTCCTCCTCCTCCAGAGACCCTTTGCCCTACCGCTGGATGAAGGGCCCGCTCATCATCATCTGTGTCCCTGCGGTCATCATGATGGGTTGCTGTGAGACCACATCCTGGCTGTTGCCAGAGGCCGCCTTACTAGCCTCCATGGCCTTCATGTTCTTTAACCTGGAATGAAAAAGGAAAAACATCCTTGCCTGCACCCTCTCTGAGGCTCCCCTGTTAGAAGACACGGGGGTCCAGGGGGGTCAAAGAAGTCAAGATGGCCGCCATCACCGTGCGCTCCAAACCTTGCCCCTTTTTCAGGCTGCCCTCTTGACTTCTTTGACCTTCCCTCCCTGCCCTGTAGACGCTTCTCTGCCAGGGTCCCTTCTTTGGAGGACGAGAGAGCACAGAATAAATCCACAAAGGAAAGGCCAGCAAGGAGATGCAGGAAAGCCTCCTTATACAAGAGCAGTTTATCTGCAAACACCCGACTTGGGAAATACAGGCCCGAAACACCCTGGTCCAATCCAGGACTGACTGACTGTTGTGTACACATGCACACACGATCACCGTGGCTCACAGCATGCTTAAACCACGAATCCTAGCTTCCCGCAAGGAGTTGTGCCCACCCGAGAACTTACTTGGCGCAGGGGCAGACGAAAAGGCCGCAACACTTGGCCATGTCACTGAGGTTCTTCTCAGCTTCCTTCATGTCTTGGATAATCTGGTCTAAACCGTCCTCAATGCGGTCCAGCTGCTCTGAGCGGGAGGAGGGGGGGGAGAGAAGACCGTGAATACGGGGAGGGGGAAGGGCCCTCCAGAGGCCATCCATAGGGGAGCGGCAGTTGTGTCCAAAGAGGCTAAAACCATGCAAATTTTAGGACCACTTTTTGCCATGGTCGTTAAACAGATGATCATTAAGTCTACCTCATTAACTTATCATGAGGGGCCTGAATTTTATTTTTTTTGTGTGATTTCTTTGCCCCAGTCAGACCTGTACAATTGGGGTGGTGTTTAAAAATGTGGAAAGAAGCACAGATAAACAATGAACGGGTTCAAATTTTACGCTGTCATAATGTGGTTTGATTTAGCATGGGGGTATAACTGTGGTTTATAACGGGGGTCTCCAATCTTGGCAACTTTAAGACTTGTAGACTTCAACTCCCAGAATTCCTCAGCCAGCCATGAATTCTGGGAATTGAAGTCCACAAGTCTTAAAAGTCGCCAAGGTTGGAGAACAGTGGTATAAGACTTCCATGAACCATGATTAAAGAAATGCAGTTTAGGATGTGGGGATAATCCAGCAATTTTCCCACTGCGAGAAATCCTCAGAATTTACCCCCTTGGTCGTCCAGCATCACCAAAGTTCGAATCCCGGCATCTTTGCTCTGTGGGAAAATCAGAAACAAACAAGAATGAACAATGGCTTGGCTAGAATTTTTTTAAAAAACGGGTGTCTCATTTCCCCCCAAGTGTTCCCTGTTAGCTAGTCATAAAAATGCTATTCACCCCTCCCTCGCTTCGCCTCTTACCTCATCCACCAGCTGCAGCATTCGCCTGGTACTTTCCAGAGACTGGAAAAAAAATTAAAAAAAATAAATAAAGAAGAATGAGAGAAAAACAGTCACTGTCCTTCCGTATTGTCTGTTTCAGAAGACTGGACTAAAAATATATATATATATCTGTTTTTAACTAAGAATCCTGGAAACCCCATTGCAGACATTCCAAAAATTCAGACTTAAAAAACAGCTTGTTTTTTTAAAAAAAAAAAAAAAAAAAGAGTCAGCTTCTACTGCCTGCTCTGCATATTTTTCTCATTAATTGGAAGTGAAAAAGACGATGCTTAATCAGCTCTAAAGCACTCGAGGTGTTGTCGGCACCCACAAACTGACTGCAAAAGGAAAAACCCGGCAATATTTGAGCTCAGCATATACAATACAAATTACGACAGTTCAAAGTTACAGTGACACCGATGACCATTTTCCACACTTACGACCGTTGCAGCATCCTTGTGGTCCCGTGATCAGAATTCGAATGCTCGGCAACTAGCTCATACTTACGACGGTCGCAGCATCCCACGGTCACCTGATCCCCTTTTGCAACCTTCAGACAAGCAAAATCAACGGGGGAAGCCAGATTCCACTTAACAACCGAGTCACTAACTTAACAACTGCAGTGATTCACTTAACAACTCTGGCAAGAAAAGTCATAAAATGGGGCAAAACCCACTTAACAACTGTACTGTTCAGATTCTGGAAATGGAGATGTCCTTGAATTGTCATTATTTTAATTTCTGTCTAGCCCTTAACAAAATATTCTGGAAGTCAGTCCTTCCTTGCGGTTTTCCCTCTCTAAGGTGACGAAAAAGGGCTCCTGAACCTTTAATTAGAAGCTTTCTCTTTCTGCCATTAATTGTTATTCGTTCCACACAGCAGCAACATGACTGGTAAACTGTTGATTAAGCTGCAGTTTAATTGCCCTGCGACTGGATGGCTTTAATTACAATTTTCTTATTTTTCTTTCCTTTTAATAAAAAAAAAAAAAAACAGCCCAGCACTGTTCTGCTAATAGGAAAAATAAGAAAATGCAAGGATTTGGGCAATTAAAGATCAATTAAGAAGCAATTAACCAGTTATCCACTGGTCTATCTCCGACTCTGGTGAAATAGGAAGTACTTCTAGGCACCGGTAGCTGCTTATTTCAAAGGGGAAAAATATTAATTAAAGCTGCAGGAGTCCTGATGAATCTCCTAATCCAAATTGAACAATTTGATCCTGCAATTTTATTTCATTGGAGGGGGCAGGGAGGAACCCAAATTACAAATCGGGTCAGAGAAAGGAGGATGCAGCCCAAATGCACAGAAAGATACAGGAAGTCCTTGACTCACAACCGCAACTTAAATTTCTGTTGTTAAATAAGACCGTTGTTGTGAGTTTTGTCCCATTATACGACCTTTCTTGCCACAGTCATTAAGTGGATCACTGCGGTTGTAAAGTTAGTCACACGGTTGTAAAGTGAATCTGTGCCCCCCTTGACTTTGCTTGTCAGAAGGTCTCAAAAGAGGATCACGTGATCCCCGGAACGCTGCGACCGTCGTAAATGTGAGTCAGTTGCCAAGCGTCCGAATTTTGATCACGTGACCACAGGGAGGCCGAAACGGTCGCAAATGCGTAAAATGGCCATAAGTCACATTTTTCAATGCCGTTGTAACTTCAGTCACTAAACATATAGATGTAAGTCGAGGACTACCTCTAACAAGTTGGAAATTTTGCTCCCTGTTTACAAAAAGGACTAAATTTCATAAATGAATAAATGCCTGTCAAGAATATGAAGATGAGGCTGAGCCAAGGGGGAGGCTTCCTGCCCTCCGGGGTGCCCCACTGGCGCCCTGCCCCGTTTCCGGGGGGGGCAACGGCCATCCTGATCAGAGGAAGGGGCCTGATCAGAGGAAGGAAGCCCCGCACCTCGTTGTTGATGTGGTGGATCCGCTGCTCCAGGCCTTCCGACTCGGATCCTGCCACGCTGCCATGCTGGGCTGCCATGCTGGGACCCCCCTGGGGAGCACAGAGGGAGAGGATACCCTCGGACGGGAAGGGCCAGCTTCTCCTGCAAAAGAGAACGGGGGTGAGGGGGGCACCAAGGGGAGAAATATCTTTTGGGTAGGTGGGCAGCCCATCCGTCAAACGATCTACCCCTATCTGTCCCCAACCTTGGCCACTTTAGGTGGGTGGACTTCAACTCCCAGAATTCCCCAGAGCAAGCGGGGAATTCAAATGTGACCTCATAGCCATGAGGGCTAGAAACTTGCTTTTTTTAAAAAAAAACCAAAAAACCCAAATCCCACGTTTTTGTACCAAGCATTAGAAAGTGCTTACTGTTTCCTTATTTGTTTATTACATTTATAGACCTGCCTATTTCCTAGGTGTGACTCTGGGCCCCCCACCCCACCCGTGACTCTGGGCCCCCCACCCCACCCCACAAAAAAAACCTCAAAGCGAATCGTCAAAGCGATTCAAAGCAAAATAATTAAAGTACCACGGACCCCATCACAAAACCAACAACAATGCAGAACTGCGACATGGGCGCCACTGAATTTATACCTGTGCATGAATGGATGGATGGATGGATGGATGGACGGACGGACACACACACACACACACACACAACCCCATTCCCTTTCAGCGCCTTTGCGTGAAAAGCGCACCGTGACACCCAGTGACACAACTTTTCAGGTGCCACGCGGCTCGGGCTCCACATCGCAACCCCACTCGGCGGTGGTCGTCCTATTGTTGCTGTTCCCCCCCTCCCCAAGAAAAAGGAACCCAACCAGGGCGGCCCTGAGCCCCCCCCCAACCTCCGCAATCCCCTCCTCCCCGCGATCCTATTCTCCCGCACCGGATCCCAAGCGTGTAATTACCGCGTGGGAAAAAAGCGCAGCTGTCGCGAGTCGCCTCGGTCTTTGTCGGCGCGGGGGCGGGGTCCCCCCCCCAGCTCAGGTCTTCCCCCCTCTCTGCTGCCTGCCCCCCCCCTCCCGGAGCGTCCCCGGCCCCTCTTTGCAGAACAGGTGTTGCCTTTGTGCGCGGATCTTGCGCCAAGCGGAGCGCGGCGAAGAGGCGGAGGAGGGGGAGGCACGGAGCCGACCCCCCCCCCTCCCGGCAGCCAAAGATAGCGCTTGGGGGGGAGGAAAGGAGGGTCCTCCGGGTTAAAAAAAGAGCCCAGGGATGCCTCGGGAGAACAACAACCCGGTGTTGCTGTCACCTTGCACAAGGCACAAGAGGCGGGCGCCGCGTTGCAAAAAAACAAACTGCCCTTGTTCACTTTCTGTATTTATAGCTGCAAACTTGGGAAGCTGCGGGTGCGATTCTCAGAGAAGACAATGCTTGGCTCCTGGGTGTGGGAAGAGAGTGATGGGCGTGGGGGGGGCTCTCTGTCCCCCATCTGCTACCTTCCAGAAGCAACTTTGTGGGTGTGCCACACCCCCCCCCTCTTTTGACAGTTCTTCCCCCCTCTTGAAGCAAGCTTGGCTCAGATCGGTTTGCCGACAAAACAGAATCCTGGCTGGCCACGTCCCAGCTCCAAGGAGCATTGGGGGTGCAGCAAAGGGGTCTACTCAGGAATAAAAGAAGGGGTCTTCTTGGGGGGATAGGGTTGCCAGGTGTCCACTATTTGAGCGGACAGTCCACTTTTTTCACATTATGTTCACTATTTTTTTTTCACAAAATAGTGGACATTTTTTTTATTCAAAAGCTTTATGATGAAATGGTACGTAATCTAAAGCTGTACAGTCTCCTTTTTTTACTACTTAACCCCCCCCCCGCTTGTCCGCTATTTTTTGGAAGCAGACCTGGCAACCCTATGGGGGGAAGCAGGTCCCCCGGAGTCTTCCAGACCCAGTTTCATTTCTCAAGCTGCTGGATGCGGCCCGTGTCCTCCATTCCAATCAACCGGCCACCCTGTTTCCTAAATCTCCGGAAGTCTCCATTTTATTGAAAAAAGAAAACTCCCAAATTTAATCAGGGCTTGCTGCCAAAAGTTGTGGGTGCTCCAACACCGGGGGTGGGGGCCCACCCACCCACGAATTCTTCTCTAACCTGTTGGCTGGCAAACAGACTTTATCATGTCCCAGAGGACGAACTCGCTCCCCCAACCTGATCTTCTGGAGGCTCCAGGGAAGGTTGAGACCTTTACCGCCGGAATTAAGACCGGTGTCTTCGTCGACCAACACCCTTAGACCGTAAGGTTCTCACAGCCGACTAGGGAAACCAGCAACTTTTGCCCCGCTCAAAATTTTCCCCTCTGCTGCTCAGAGCCGACCTGCGTTTCTCTATTTTGCCTTCTGAAGGGATTTTAAAAGAACGGGGAAATTGCCAATGTCTGAAAACGGCCTTTCAAGCTGCCAGTTGACAAAGCCCCCCCTCCAGCCCCGTTACCGTACATCAGGGGTCCTCAAACTTGGCCACTTTAAGACTTGTGGACTTCAACTCCCAGAATTCCCCAGCCAGCCATGCTGGCTGGGGAATTCTGGGAGTTGAAGTCCACAAGTCTTAAAGTGGCCAAGTTTGAGGACCCCTGCCGTACATCCTGCTCTTCGTTTTCCATTTGGATTACCTTGAGCCCCCCCTCTCCCCCACAAAGAAACACAAAAGGAAATTGGCTGATCAAAAGCAGCCATCCCGTCCCCGTCTTCCATCGCGGCAACGTGAGCTTTTGGAAGATTATTTTTTTTTGTCTAGATGCGCTTAGATTAAAACCGGATTAAATTGGCGCCAGCAAAGAAAAGAGCTGGCTCTTCAGAGGGAAAATGTCGTTTTCAGACTCGGTGGGGGAGAAGCTGCGGTGTTTCTGCCATTATTTCAAGCAAAAAAGAAATGGCTGTTTCAGGAGCACCCAGGACATCGGTTAATTGAGCTGTTGAGAGTGACTCAATCCGAGGGATATTTTGGCCTGCTGTAAAATGGAAAAGGACGAGTCCTTGTCTGAGGCTGGGGGGTGGGAGGGAGGGAGAACACCATTACAGCAAAGCTTTCTTTCTTTCACACAGGGTTGTCATCACTTCCCAAGAGTCCCTCACAAAGCTGTTCCATCACATAACCCACAACAACCCTGTCAGGTAGGCTGAACTGAGAATGATTGGCTTAAAATCACCTGAGGAGTTTCCATAGCTGAGGGTAGACGTGGACCTGGGTCTGCTCAGATTGCTCCAACTTCTGCACCACAACACCACTGTGGTTGCCAAACATCTCAACATGCTGTCTGTCTCCCTATCACCTCTCTCTCTCTCTCACTTCCCTCATCTGTCTTCCGTCTGTCTGTCCGTCTGTCCGTCCGTCTGTCCATCCATCCATCCAATTTCTGTCTGTCTCTCTCTGTCACTATGTATTTGTATCAATCTATCTATCCTATTTCTGTCTATCTGTCTACTTCACTGTCTCTATTTGTATCTATCTATATTTCATCTATCCTATTTCTGTCTGTCTTTCATCATGTATCATCTATCTATCATTTATCTATCTATCATCTATCTACCTATATGTATCCATCTATCATCTATCTCATCTATCTATCTATCCTATTTCTGTCTATCTGTCCATCTGTCTATCATCTATCTATCTATCTATCTATCTATCTATCTATCTATCTATCTATCTATCTATCTATCTATCTATCTATCTATCTATCTATCTATCTATCTCATCTATCTATCTCATCTATCTATCCTATTTCTGTCTATCTGTCCATCTGTCTATCATCTATCTATATATCTATCTATCTATCTATCTATCTATCCATCCATCCATCCATCCATCCATCCATCCATCCATCCATCCAATTTCTGTCTGTCACTATTTGTATCGATGTCATCTATCCTATTTCTGTCTATCTGTCCATCTGTCCATCTGTCCGTCTATCTATCTATCTATCTATCTATCTATCTATCTATCTATCTATCTATCTATCTATCTATCTATCTATCTATCTATCTATCTATCTATCTACCCTATTTCTATCTGTCTATTTCACTGTCTCTATTTGTATCTATATCTTATATATCCTATTTCTGTCTCTGTCTATCTATCCTATCATTTATCTATCATACATCTCTCATCTCTCCTATTTCTGTCTGTCTATATGTCCGTCTCTGTCTGTCTGTCTACCCACCCACTCACCCACCCACCCACCCACCTACCTACCTACCTACCTACCTACCTACCTACCTATCTATCTATCAATCATCTATCTATTAATTGTATATGCCACTCATGTCACTCTACAAAGTGACTTCTGGGCAGTTTTGATTCACTCCTTTGCAGCTTAATAATGTCCTTTTATCAAGAACAAGAAGTCCTTGCCTGCAGGACGAGGATCATAGCAGACCCAAGCCGTCCCTACAGCTTGGCTCCCCCGCACGGGACAAACATTCCATTCCATTCTTTCTGGATGGCACAGAGTTGGTTTGGGGGGCTCTTTTTTTGCATCAGATCACATTTGAGCTGAGAGCGTTCCCTGTCTAAATATACCCCAACTCATGAAAATGTATGCATGAATCAAGAAGGGTCCAAAGTATAACGAGAACATGCTAACTTTGTTTCTGACACCATCTGCTCGAGAGGCCTCTTTGCAAAGATCAGCGGAAGCATCTTGAAAGGAGAAAGCGTAAGAGGGAAAGGGCCAGTGTTTGCAAAAGAGCAGGCTGATATGCTACAGGTCGGCCTCTCAAACCAAACCCACCCTCTGCAACTGGAATCTCCAAGTCTGGAACAGAAAAGGGAAAATTGCAAGAAAAAGGGGGAGCAGCTTAAAGCTAAAAGACAAATCAGAGGATGAATTGAATCCTTAAAATACAAATTCTTCCTCAGGAGACACTGTGGAGAAAAGGTTGAGTCCTGTTTAACCAACTTATCCAGCTGTGGGGCTGGATAGACCAGAGGTGTCCCCATCACTCACATCTGGAAAACCTAGAAAAAAGCAACTGCGTAGAAATACCCTACAGAGAGATATTGATCAGAGTCCATTCAACCTCCAGACTGGATCCTCTGGGGGG